TTTTAATTACCCCTCTTCCCCCCCCTCCCCTTAATCTTGAAAAACTGTGACAGATGGGACGTTATTTCCCATTCATCCCTATTGTTAATACATCCCCAGCTCACGGGGGGGCTATCAGTCACGTGCTGTCCTCACCATCCCCTGCACCCCACTCCGTCCCTCAGCAGGATGTTCATCCTGCGGAAGAGGACAGGGCTTTAATGTGAACAGATTTTAATTCCTTAAAAGCGTCAAGGCAAAGCCCCCGGTCTGGGAGGGGAACTGGAGCAGACACATCCACGATGCTCTTGGCAACTGGTTGAAACTGGGGCAACTCTTTAATGCTTATCCAGCCCGGTGCTGATGGAGCCATTGCTTGTTAAGATCTGCTGATGAATTGGGTTGAGTGAGAGCAAAACTTGTCAAGGATGACCCTGATAAACCGAAAAAATATATCGAATAATCAAAAGACACAAACCCATCAGTCTCTTTCTTCCCTGCCTGGTTAGGGGAGCATGCCTGTCTTAGGCTCCAAGCTGCCGGGTCTGAAAAATTCAGGTGGGACTGAGTTTGATCCCTGCCTGGTCTTAAGCATCATTTTTTTGTAAGTGTTTTCTTGCCTTGGACAAATATTTCATAAAGCGGGCAGGGCTGCTGGGGAGATGGTTGTTTTCCAGCACGTTTCCCCTCTGATTTTTTCCCCAGTTCTCTTGAAAACTGATTTTTATTGAAAGCAGGAACTGCCAGACAGTGTTTTCTCTGCCCTTGGTACTGATCTGAGGTGGAAGGTGGCTTTGTTATAGTAAGATATTATGAAGGTTGGCTAGGAAAAAGTCTTTTTTTTAGGGCAAAGAGTGGTGAAGCCATCCCTTACGTGCCATTGTAAGGTTTGTATTTAAGCCAGCTCAGTGAAATTGAGTTTCTGGTTCCCAAACGCTTGTGGGAGGTGAAGCCCCTCTGGAGCATGAGACCAGTGGATGGTGGGGGAGGTGGGTGGTCCATGGAGCTGCAGCCCAACGGGCAGGGGAGGGATGGGCAGATGCAGGGAGGGCTCATGGAGGTTGGGCAGGGGGGCTGGTGGCTTGTTCTCATGTCATGGCTTCATTTCATCTTTATTCTTCTTCCTCTGTGGCCCTGAATTTTGGGGGAAGCTTTTATCTGTTATTTCCCTGTGAGCTGTGGGAGGGGGTAACCACGAAGCCTTGTGAGTGCTGCTGCTTACCTGGGCTGCTGGGAAGGGGAGAGATGTGCCAAAAAATAACCCAATCCACCTGATTTTGGGGAACAAACTGCAACTTTTAAGGCATTTTCTGTTTTATTGTTTGATGTCCAGCACACAGCATGTGAAGCTCTCATTTGTGAACATCAGCCAGTGATGCTGGCGGGGCATGGGTGACTGTGGGTTTTCTGTTCCCTTTCCCTGCAGCGTTGTGATGTTGACCTCGTGGATGCATGAAATATAGCACAGCTCTGTCGTGGATTATTTCATGAACCCAGCTGACAGCCTCACTTGCTTAGAAAGCTGGCTCCTTTGTCCTGTACATGATGCCGGCTGGCATGTGGTACCTGAAACCCAGTTCTGGGGTAGAGGAGATACTTCCTTCTCCAGCCAGAGTAGCTGCTGGCAAGCAGGACCATTTTTAGCTGAATTTAGAAGGGCAAAAAGGCAGGTGAACCTCTGTAAATCGGGTTTCTTTAACACTTGAAGCTGATGCTTGGTTGCCACCAGACATTTTGTCCTGGGCTGGGCACTGAGATGGCTGATATGCATGTGCAGGTATGGAAGAGCAGGCTGGTGATACAGAAGGATACAGCTGTCGTGGTTATCTGAGGGCAGCTCACTATGCCAGGGCTAGTTGCACTACACAATGGAGTATTTTTCCTCGACCTGTGTGCCTGTAGTTACTATGATTTTTTTTTTTTTTTTTTTTTTAATTCCTGCCAACCTGCTGCAAAACAGGTTGGGTGAAACGTGGTTGCTGCCTTCGGCACAAGTCCTGCACAGGGTTTGTGTGCGTGCACTGAAATCAATCCCTTGTCTCCCAGGTTTTGGGAGGGGCAAGGAAAATGAAAATAAAGGGGGTTTCTGCTCCAAATTTGGAGAAGAGTGGCCTTGAGATTTGCTGCCCTGTCCTGTGAGGACCATGCTGTGGTCCGTGCCCCAGCCCTGAGAATAACACATCTGTCTGTCATGGCCCCGCATATGCATCCATCACTCCGTCAGTGATGACCGTGTGTGATCCAGCACCGCTTCAACCAGGTGGGGAATTATGAGAGCTATAAAAAATACACCCAGTAGGAATAATAACCTTGTTTTAAATGCCAAGTGGTGATAATGAGCTGCTGGGAGACCTGCCAGGTGGTGGAGGTGAAGCCTTGAGCACTATTTGGGTACCTTTAGGTGCTCTGCATCAGCTCACATGGACATTGGAAGTGTGAATGTGCTGTAGTGTTCCACTGAGAAGTGGAGTTACGTGGCATCTTGCTGTGGTCCTTCCCTTTGGGTGTTTCGGGTGTCAGGTGAGCAGCATGGAGGGGTGAGGCAGCACCTCGGGGGACCAGGGCTGCCCTGGCATCTCCCTTGGCAGCAGTGTTGGGAGGTGATGGCCCTGGTGCAGTTCAGTTCAAGGCAGAGGCTTTTCTAGAGTCGCTGCCGACACCGTGGTGAGGGGACCATGTCCAGCCAGTGTGCTGGTTTCACTTGGATGAGCTACTTCAAAATTCCCCATGTCCCCCGGGCTGCTGGGCTTCGGTAACGGGGCAGGGTGAGCCAAATGAACCCCAAAAGGAGAGTGGCTTCTCTGTGGTCCAGCCTGTGGCATCCCATGGGCACAGATGGTTCCCAGGCTGGGGGAGGAGGATGGTTGTAGTAGTAGATGCTTTGGCTTGTAGCTGAGCAGTGGCATCTTGCGGCAAGGCAGGTGAAGGCGGCACCACTCTTTTTTTGGAGTTGGAAGGTGGTAGAAGTAACCGGGCAGCATGTCCAGCCCTCTCTGCCAGGAGTGGAGAGGCCAGTCCTTGGCTTCAGTTGGGTTTTCAGAGCAGAGAAGGGCTTTTCCGTGGAAAGCTTTCAGGGTGCCCATGGTTTGTGCTGGCACTTGGTCCGGGATTTGCTCGGGCAAACCGGCCTCGCAGCATGTCGCCAGTCGGCTCGGGACCAGGATGAGTCTCTTGGAGCAGGCAGGAACAGTCACCCTGGGGGCTGAGCATCTCCTAGGACTGGACCTGGGCACCTTAAAGTAGCCCCTCTGGAAAAATGTTGGTGGGTTTTAAAAATGAAACATGTCTTGTTTTCTGGAGTGGGCCCTGCAGGGTGTTGGTACTGGGAGCAGCAGTGTGGCATCAGCCACAAGTGGGTGACAAGGATAGGCAGGAGGAGGGTTTAGGCTGTTGGTGAGTAGTGCAGGATTGTCATTGTCATGGTCCTCCTGAGTGTCTTCCTCCTGGCATGGGGTGGGAATGTCTTAGGGATGGGATGAGGTGGGGTTCGATTGAATGTGATGGGATGAACCTTGCTGCTTGCCTCGCAAGGATTGTACAGCTGCATTCCAAACCTTGAAATCCCTGGTGGCAGCTGGGGACAGGAGGAGTCCAGCTGCTGGAGGAGAGAGGTTTGGTAACACTACAGGAGAGCGCCATTTTATCTGGCTTTGGCTGCCACGCTTTTTTGTATTGACCGATTTCTTTTGACTGACAGAGCCATCTCTGCAGAGACATGCAGAGCGGGAGGTAGGCTGTGAACCAGGCAGGGTTCAGCAAGGATGGCCATACGCAGGATCCCTGGAGGAGGATCCAGCAGGGGCTGGCCTGCGAGAGCCATCTGTCAAACCCACGCAGGGTTTTATTGAGCACACGTCCTCGGTTGGATGCGAGCATAGGGTTTTGTTGTCCATTGCTGATTGCACCACTGACCATACTTGTTTGAGCAGCACCGTGAGATACGATGGTGGTTTTAGCTGCTTTGCTTGACTGTGGTCCTTCTGTGGATTTTGTCTTGCCCTCATAGCCTGCATTGCAAGAAACATCCTTTCCCTGCCATCCCTTTCTCACTTGGAGCCTGCATTTTATCTGCTGCGTGTGGGGTGGATGCTCCAGATTGCTACACGTACTCATCAGCATCCTTATAGTCGTGTTGCTCGTGCTGCCTCTAAATTCATGTTTCACAAGGCAGATAGTTGTCCATCACAAGGGTCTGGTTGTCCTGCACTATTAAATCAGGAGGAAGGGTAGCGTGTGGCTGCTGTGGAGGTAGAAGGATCGTGTCTGGAGCACGCCAACCTCAGCGCTGCAGTGCATGGCTCTCCCAGCCCTGCCTGCTTTGGGTCTGCATGAAAGCCAGCCTTTCCTCTGGTTCTTGCTGTGCCTCACATTTCCGCCCTGTGTCAAGTGTCTGGCCCCAAAGTACCTGAGAAAATCTTTATGTGCCAAAATTGTTTGCAGGGGCTTGGGGTGCACCTCTGCAATGAGCACCAAGTGCAGAGACCAGCCTCACCACTTGGGACAAAGTTTGTTTTCCAGCTGTTGGAAGACTGCTGGTGGAATCAGGGTGCTGGGTGCTGATGGTTTGCAGATGAGCAGAGCTCCTCCCACCTCCTCCTGCAGAGCTTGTCCTTCAGGATTTGGCCCAAAGCCTTTGGGTGTTGCTGGCCATCAGATGGGACTGCTGGTGGCTACTTGCATGTCCCCACATAGCCTTTAGGCTGGTGGTATCATTCCTTCCAAGCATCCTCCTTGAGCTTGTCTCAAGGAAGATCAAAGCTTCATAAAACCAGCTTCCAGCTGCCGATCAGCTCCTGAAACCTGGCTGTGTGCGTGGGGTGGCTCCATCAGAAAATGCATCTCTGATGTTGGGAGAGGTGGTCTGCTCTGATCAGAGCGTTAAGAGCTGGACCAGGTGAGAACACAGGACATTGCTTTGGTTGGAGGTGATTGACTACAAACAGGATTATGAATGCTGGTCTGGGTGGACAGTGGATGAGTTCATGGCTTGGCTGGATCCTCCATGGAGTTGGGTGTCTCAAAACTTCCTGCTGCCCAAGCACATCTTCTTGCAGCCAGGCTGGGAGGACGTTTGGCTGCCATTACCTCTTGAGAAGCCTTTGCAACTCTTCCTTTGCATCCATGCCCCAAGGCTGCAGTGTGGCAAGTTGGTACAATTGTGAGGTTGAGAATGCAACCAGGCAAGGCTGGGTGTGTTGGCCATCTCCAAGGGCAGGCCTCAGAGGATATTTATTTAGGTTTCCCCATGGAAAGCAGCCCCACGTTGCTTGGAAGTGGTGGACATCAGCAGGATGCAGTTTTGGAGAGCCCCTCTCAAGAGATAGCGGGGCTGGCCATGGTGGGGTCTCAGGGTTCTGTCCCCATCCAGCTGGCCAGCCCCAGGCGGTGCGGTCAGGGGTGTGCATGCATCCCAGCCTTGCCTGTGCAGCTGTGACTTTGCAGAGGCTCATTTCAGAAGGTTTCCTTGGAAACCTGGCAGCCAGCATGAGGAGGGAGCATTCCCGAGACAGCTTCAGCCCTGGTGGGTGGTGACCAGGGCAAGGCTGGGAGAAATGACTTTTCCCCAGGGATGAGCTGCTCCAGCTTGGCGTGGGGAAGCGGGATGCTTTGGCAAGCTCTCGCCAGCTGCCATCTGATACCCGGAAAGCCTTTACTCTCCTGCTGCAATGTTGCCTGCAGACCCTAACCTGGGGCTTTGTCTTTGCAGGAGCAGGAAGATCCAGATCCGAAATATCCCCCCCCACCTGCAGTGGGAGGTAAGAAGCAGACGATCCCAAAAACATCCCATTCATCTCTTCCTCCATCAGTTATGCTGAGCAGCTTAAGCTGTGCTGCTGAAGCGGGTGGTCTGCGCGTGGGCCGCCCTTTACCTTCCCAGTAACCCCAGGAGAGAGGTGGAGTGTAAACTGGGCTCCATCTCCTGCCTGTGTGTGGGTCCTGGAGCCACAGGGCAGCTTTGAGCAGTAGGGCATCATTGGGATAATGGGATGCAGGTGGGTGGAGGCATTTAAGCAGTTGGGTGACACTGGCTCTTTGGAGGGTGTCTGTGGATGAAGCAGGCTCTTCCCCTGCCTGCTTCCTGCCTGTCCGTCAGCTTCTCCTGCCTGCTGTACCTGCCCTTTTTGCTGCTCTCTCCCCCAGGTGCTGGATGGCCTGTTAGCTCAGTATGGTACGGTGGAGAACGTAGAGCAAGGTAAGGTGATCCAGCATGGTCCTCATCTGTGCAAAGGTCCCAGTGCTGTTCCCCTGCTCTGTCCGCGCTGGAGAAAACCCAGTGGGGTGCAACCTAGTTTTCCCAGTCATTGGTATTGGGTTAAAATGGTTTTCCCTGTGGACCCAAGCCCTGCTAGTAGAGGTGGGGCCACCCGTCCAGTGGTGGGATGGCATGGGCCATCAGTCCTCCATCCCCAGGGCTACCCCTGGTCACTGGCAAATTAAAAAAAACAATTGTCCCTGCAAGCAAAAATGAACCGAGTGTTGCTTGGGGTCCGCTGGTGGTTCGTTGATGTCCAGCTTTGCGTCCTCCTTGGCGAGGGTGGCAAGATCTGGCCTTGGCACCTTCTAGTCCTTTGCCAGCCCAGCCCAATCCTTGTGCTGGGGGAAAATAACAGCATTGCACAAGCATGCACTGTGTGCGGTGGCCAGGGCAGTCCCCTGTGGGACAGGCTTTACCCTTCCACCATCCCCACCTGCATCCCTCCTCTGATGCGTACTGGGGGGACTGGGAGCAGCGGCAGTGACGTCTCCCTCCTCCCCTGCTCTAACGCTCCTTTTGCTTTTCCCCCCTCAGTCAACACAGACACAGAAACAGCCGTTGTCAACGTAACATATGCAACTAAAGCAGAAGCAAAAGTGTAAGTGGGTTTTTGTTTCTTTTTGTCCATATTTTCACACCACCTGAACTTTTTCTGAGGAATCCCAGATATCTCCTAGGCTGCTTCTTGTCTTGTCTCTAAGTCTCCTTGGGTTGTTTCTAAGCTCTTGCAGTGTAGGCTTCAAGTGCCTTAAGGGCTGTCTGTGTATCTTCTCAAGATACAGCAGGCAGATGTTGGTTTTATCTTGAGCTGTGTCATCTCACCTGTCTTCTGCCAGCAGTCTTCTCTTTGTCCCACTGCTGGGTGGTCTCCTGCCTTCTGCCTTCGCAATGGGGGACGGGGTTTCTTGTGGCACCCTGTCATACATGCGCAGGCACTGCTGGACCAGCTTGGGACCATCAGTCCTGTGGTTGTCCCCTCTTCCTCTGTGCCTTCTCCTCTTGTCCCCAAGGACATGGCTCCCAGATGTGCCATCTTGCAGTTCCCTTTGAACACTGCCCTTCTGCAGGGTCGCAGTGGCTTTGTCTTGAGGGAGTAAAGCACTCTAGACAGCCGAGGGTTGGCTCAGATAAGCAGTTTGTCAAGGAGTTGACTTCCTGGGTTGGGAATCCAAACCTAAACTGGGAATGCACCAGATTGGTCACCGATCTGACCATCCAGCCTGAGCTGCTGAAGAGGTGGAATATGGTGAAGAAGGTGGGAGAGAAGGTGAAGAAACACCCCATTTATTTCAGAAATGCAAGGAGCATTTTAAGCAAAACTCTTTGTCACGGGCTTGTAGAGACTTTAACCCTGTGCTAGAGACCAGCCCTAAGTTAGCTACGAGTATATAGTGAGCACATGTCATACTTTGTGGCCAGGATATTTTTTTATATGACCAAGAGCCAGGCAGACCCCATGCAAGGAAGAGCCTTTGCCAGAGTCCATTTGCTGATGGACATTCGAGCAACGTCCCAGTTGACCCATGACGAGGTTGGACTTGTGAGGACGGAGATGGGGAGAATGATCTGCTGGTCCAGGAGGCCAGAGGAGGGTCCTTGTTGTGCCTGTTGGGATGGCCATGCTAGATGTGCTCTAGCCTCGTGTGGCTGGAGGAAGGTGCCGTGGACCACAGATAAATGTGGCACGAGCTGCTGTGTCTTAGGATGTGTGGGAAGAAGAGTCTTACCAACACAGCAGTTCTTGTTGCTTTGGGGTAAGAGGCTTCAGGGTTAGAGAAGACACTGTCCAGCTGGACTGATGTCCATCTTAGGCAGTGCTCAGCAGCTCAATGCAGAAGTGAGCGATGGGAGGAAAGGCAGGGGTGGTTCGTGGGTTCATGTGTTGGTATGTTGTGATAGGAACAGGAGAAAGGAAGACATTGGCAGAGAAATTTGGCTGTGAGGCACTGTGCTGATTTTGGAAAGGGATGGCAAAGGTGCAGAAGTCCTCACTGGATATGAAGTTCAGACCTGACAAGGAGCTGCTTGCAGCGGTGCATTCATACGCCTGCCTATAAATGGCCAAAGTGAAATGTGGTAGGAAGAGGGAAGAAGTATGGCTGAAGCCATCACCGCTTGCAGAAGTCATCACAGGCTCTGGCATGGCTGAGCATTGCACCAGCAAGGAGGGTCTGGGGGGGGAATGAAAAGTCCAGGTGCTGCACTCCCAGTCTCACTGAGCTGGAAAGAGAGTTGGAGTTCCCGATGGAGGGTCACCACGTGCCACATCCTCCTCCTTGGAGCAGTGGCTCTTGGTCGGAGTCCACCTGTCACCTTTTTCCATGTCCAAAAAGTGCATGAGACTGTTTCCATGCTGTGTGGTGGCTTCTTGTCAGCGCTTTCCCCAGCCTGGCGTCTCACCTCTGCTGGGGGGACAAACAGTGGGTATCACCCACGTGGGAGGGGACATCGTCCCACCACGCTGTGGGGGCTTGCTCCACACAGGGAAAAGGGGCGAGGCTCTGGCTTCCCATGGCCACCTTCTCCAGACTGGTGCAGGAGGAAGATGCAAGGTTGGGGAGGGACCATGGTCTACAAGGGCAAGTACTGGGGGTACTGCATCCCCAGAGAGCCCCTCAGCACCTTTCTCCCTACCTTGCAGAGCAATTGAGAAGCTGAGCAACCACCAGTTTGAGAACTATTCCTTCAAGATTTCCTACATCCCGGATGAAGAGGTGAGCTCCCCTCCGCCCCTGCAGCGATCCCGCCGCGCGGGCCACTCTTCCAGGGAGCGGGGCTCCTCCCCGGGGGGCTCCTCACAGCCCAAACAGCTCGATTTCCCACTGCGGATGCTGGTGCCCACGCAGTTTGTTGGTGCGATCATAGGAAAGGAGGGCTTGACCATAAAGAACCTTACTAAGCAAACCCAGTCCAAGTAAGTACCTTGAATGGTTTTGTTTCCTTCCGTAGGGTGCTGTAGGTCCCCCAGCATGGGTCCTCAATGCACTTGGGGCTTTTGAGTGCCAGCCAGTGCTGTTTTCTCGGGGTGCAGCCTTCATGGGATGGTGGCAGAGCCCATGTCCTAAACCATTTTTTGCTGGCCAGGGTGGTCTGGGTGTGGCAAGAAGGGGGATGCACGTTCAAAAAGGCCAGGAATGAGTTTCCAGAGTCTAATCATGAGAATGGCTGGGGTGGAGGCTTTAGGGAGAAATGGCAAGTTTGGGGATAAAATGCTGAAGGGGGATACTAGGTACAGCAGTCGGTGCCCATGCAGTCTTTGCCCTCAGGATTTGCTCATCCCACAGCATTCCATGTGGGCCAGAGCTGTTGTAGGGGGAAAGGGGGCGTGGTGGGAGCACTGCCTTGAGAAGGATGAGCTTTTTGTAACTGTTTGAAGCCTTTTTTTGCAATCTAACCTTTTTTTTTTTTTTTTTTGGAAGAAAAAAAAAAAGGAAAGGGGGTGACTGTCTTGCCAAAGTTTTCCATGTTTCTCTTGTCAATGTTCACATTGATTTCATTTCTGATTTTCTGCATGTTTTTCCTGCATGGTTTGTTCCTGCCCAGATTTGTTTGTGTTTAACCCAAAGCTGTCTTCTCCCATGCTTGTCATCCTGAACCCGGTGACCCCACAGGACATAGGACTCCTGTACCAGAACATCTTCCAGGGTGTCCTAGTTCTCAGAGAAGCTTTTAGAGGCAAATTATTTGATAATAGCACATCTGCTTGAGCAGAAGGTAGGAAGACATGCCACTCTGCAGCCAAGTGAGCCGAACCCCAGTATTGGGTTTGCAGGAAGAGGTTTGTACGGAAAGGGGGCAGATGCATAGGGAGAGGAGCTCTTCGAGCCCATATAGCCCTAGAGCATGGCCACCTAGTAGCTGTGAGCTGGTTGGCCACAAGCCCTTCTTCTCCAGGTGAGTCCCCTGGTGTGATGAGCAGCGGGTGTAGCTGTGTCCTTGCCACTGAAGACTGGAAGGTTGCCCTTTGTAAGCCCTGATCCTGGCGAGGAAGTTGGGAGGCGCAGATTGCTCCTGACCATGAGGCCATACACTGCTGCCTGGGGCACTTTCTACCGCTGAGCTGTCCCTTGTTGTGGGTTGGCTCCCCATGCCTGCCCCGAAGACCTGGTGCCATGGAGGAAGGCCGTGTTCCATGCTCTCAACTTTCCTGACCTGCCAAGGAGGCCCTGTGCCATGGTGGGCCACCACCTCTGCTCTGGCCTTGGGCAAGGGGGACCTCATGCACCCAGCTTGGGCGATTGCAGGAGACCATTGCCTTCAGTTTGGGGTATCAGCCTGCAGCTCTGTCCCTGCTCAGGCCACCCTCACCCACGGGTGTGATGGTCCAGGGAACAAGGGTGCTGGTGACATCCTGTTGCCTGGTCCCTGCTCCTGGCTAGAGCAACGTTGGGTCCTGGATTCCTCTGGTCACTTAGGACTTCACCCCTGTCTCCACACACAGTGATGCCCAGAGATGCTCCTGAGTTCCAGGGGACAAAACTGTCCCCAGGTTGAGCCATCTTCTTCCTTGGCTGTGGAGGAGCCCAGACCAAGAGCCGACCCCACCAGATGACCTTCCACAGTGACTGCAGCCCTTGTAACCTGATGAAAGCACCATTGCTGCGAAGCAGCTGTGGGGCCAGGATAACCCTGTATGCATACCGTGCTGTCTCCACCTTGAGAGGACATGGACACTGCTCTCTGAAGCATTCCCAGTGCATCCATAAGGTGTCTCGGAGGTTTTTCCTGCTGCACCATGGGCAAACCTGCCTTCTCCTTGTCCTGCCATCCCTGTTCTCAGCTGCCCCAGCCTCCCCTGCCTGCAGCATCCTGGGCTCCCAGGCAGCTGCTGATAGGGTGAGGGGGTTGAGGGTCACGTTCTCCATCCTCTCATTGGGATGGAGCTGTGCAGCAGCAGCACTGGGATGTGCTGGGAAGTCTTCCACACTCCAGCTCTTTGGGGTGGGACATGCCTGAATGCAGCAGCCCCTTCCTGGTGCCCTATCTTCTTTCTGCAAATGGAGCTTGTGCGTGCCCATCCAGGTTTGGGATGGGTTGGATGTCAGCCAGAAGCCTGGCCCATGTCCCTCTCCTGGGCTTGTCCAAGGTACTCATCACTTCGGTGCATCCATTCAGCCCATCCGTGACTCTTGGCCCTTCTTTGGTGCAAAGGCTCAGTTGTGTACCCCATCTCCACCAGCCTCAACTACTCATGGGTTCAAGAAGCTGCCTGAGTCCTATCTATGGGGTTTGCTGGGGCAGCCATGGATTCCTCATTCGTTTCCCCTAGTTGGGAGCATCAGCCCAATGTGGTGTTGCGGCACCGTTCTGGAGCACGGGCCTGTCGTCGCCTCTTGTGGCATGTCGTGATGTGCTTGCCTTCTCCCTGGCAGAGGGGGTGGCAGTGGGTGTTTGCTGTGCACTGTCTCTGAAGGAACAGATCTTCCAAGTCAACCTAGTGGAGTTTCGGAGCCGGAAGTGCCGTGGAGGGCATCACACAGCATGCAACTGCGTCACCCTGTCCTGTAGACATAACCAAAGGGTAGGGAGAGGTCATTGGTGCCGGCGTCTCCAGCACCTCTTTTGCACAGTCCAGGGAGGACCAGTCTCCTGCCTGAGCAGCTCTGGTTGAAGCTGTAGGAGATCTGGAGAGATGTAGCCTGCAAAGGACATCGCTCTGTCTTCATTCCCTCTTCAGTGCTCAGATGAAACCACCCCAGGGTCCCTTTTGAAGCTGTGGGGTAGGCTCTTCACTTATCTCAGGAAAGGTTCACCCAGCTGCTCTCCCACTACTTGTAGATGAAGAGTCTTCGTTTCTGCGTGCTGGTTCATGAGCTCCTGGAAGAGCTGACCTGTGCAAACCCATCATGACCCTGTAGCATCCAAACGTGGTGCTGGTTAGGGGTGACTCTCCACCACAACCCTTGGCCTTGCATGCGCAGCAGCACCCATGAACGATCCCGGTCAGGATGGGGACCTCTTACGAAAACAGAGACGTGGCTGGAGGGTGCCATGTTGGAGCTGAGCGCTGGTGGCATTCGCTGAGTGGCTGAGCAGCCACTACTGCACCTTTGCAGAAGATCTGGGCCAGCCCAGCCCTGACCGCACCAGTGACAGGGACATTGAGGAGGTAGCCGATGGCAGGATGGCTGCACAGCATCATCTTCTGGTGGGAAGAGCACACGGACTCATGTGGAGAAGATGGAAAGGTTGCTTACCACTGTGCTTCAAGATGTGTGGTTGACGTGTGGGAGTCTCCTACCCTGCTTTCCTCTCTCCCTCTCTCTCAGGGCCTTTGCCAGGTACGGTTGAGCGGTGAGGAGCGAGCTGGAGGGATGTGCCTCCTCCCCGCCATGAGCTGAGGGGAGGACCAGAGGAGCTAGAGCATGGTCCCTGCTGGTGCGCAAGGGGGAGAGCTTTCTGGTCTCCCGTGGAAGGGCGTGAGTACGAGTGCTGTTGTTGATGCGTGCCTCTGTGTCGTGACAAATGCTGCCTACGGGTAAGTTGTCTCTGTCCCGAACGACACGCAACGGTTTTGGCAGCCACTGGTTGTTGGACAGCCTCAGGTGTTGTGCAGAGAGAGGTTGAGGTTGGAAGGGACCTCTGGAGACCTCTAATCTGGTCTCCTGCTCCAAGTGGGACTGGTGTCAAAGACAATAGATCAGGTTGCTCAGGGCTTTGTCCAGTTGAGGATTTGTTCTGCTCCCTCTTGATGCATCGTTGGATGTCGATTGACATCCCTCAGCTTCCAGGCAGACCTCAGGTCATAAAGGTGAACGTAGCTCAAATCTGATCTAAACCAACCAAAGCGAAACACAACCTGGGCTTGCATGAGACCAAATGACAGTAGATGTATGTCAGCAAGACCCAGGTTCACCCCAAAGCTTGAGCAGGTGTTGAAATGAGCTTTTCTGTGAATAGCAGGCTCAGCTCCTGAGCACTCAAAAGCCTTTTTGTGACACAAGTCACATCTTAGGGGGCTCCTCTCTGCTGATTGTTTCACTGTAGAGTTGACATTCATCGGAAGGAGAATGCTGGCGCTGCCGAAAAGCCCATCACCATCCATGCTACACCAGAGGGGTGCTCGGAAGCGTGTCGCATGATCCTTGATATCATGCAGAAGGAGGCTGATGAAACTAAATCGTAAGTGGTCCTGGGTCAGCAAAACAGGCAGGTTTGGTGGAAGGGAGGTCAATTCAGCTATTAGTGGAGTAGAAGGCATCTTGTGTCACCCCCCCCACACTTGTTGAGGGAACTGCTGGCATTTGCAGTTTAAGGATAGAGTCATGGGTCAGTTACTAACTTCCAACTTACTGACTTCTCCACGGTGTGTTTGACAGTGCTGTAGAGACCAGAAGCTTGGGTGGGTCCAAAGAGCATGTGGGCAAACTTGGAGACCAAAACCCCATGAAATACAGATGTGCCATCGGGCTTGGGAAGTCCCTGATTTCCCATTCCCCAGAAGCTGAACGGATACAGTGGTGGGAAATGGTGGGGGTTCTTCTGCTCTTTCCACCGCGTCATTAGTGCCGTTGCTGGAAATTGGTTTGCTGGCCACATGGACCTTTAGATTCTATTTTTTAATCCATTTTAGAGCAGAAGAGATTCCCTTGAAAATCCTAGCACACAACAGTCTGGTGGGGAGGTTGATTGGCAAGGAGGGCCGCAACCTCAAGAAGATCGAGCAGGACACGGGCACGAAGATCACCATCTCCCCGTAAGTCCTGGTGAACAACAGGCCATCCCCCTCTATCCAACACAGTGCGGGCAGTGCTGGAGCCAGAAAACAGAGCAGTTGTGTCCTCTCGTGCACGTTCCCCATCCTGGGTGGGCATTTCTCATCCCAGGTGGATGGTGGTGTTGGACAGGGAGAGGGCATGTGGTCCCATGCTGTCTAAGGGGGGAGCCTTTATCTTTGATTTGGGTTTTCCTCTTTTTTTTTTTTTCTTCTTGACTTGGAGGAAATAAAATGTAACCACATCTCTGGATTTGTCTGTGGCGTAGTTTGCAGGATTTAACCATTTATAACCCTGAGCGGACCATCACAGTGAAGGGCAGCACGGAGGCATGCTCCAATGCCGAAGTGGAGATAATGAAGAAGTTGCGAGAGGCCTACGAGAACGATGTGGTGGCCGTCAATGTAAGCTCCCAGCCTTCGTGCCTGGGATGCCCCTGCTTCAGAGCCGCTGCTGAGGTGGCCAGAAGAAAACTGGGGGGAGTCAGTCTGTTACAAGAAGGGTTCGCCCTCACCCATCCTGTCCACACTATGTGGTGAGAACCCCAAAAACCTTTTACGTGTTTCTCTGTGTCTTTGCTTTCCCAGCAACAAGCCAACCTGATCCCAGGACTGAACCTCAGTGCTTTGGGCATCTTCTCAACGGGGCTGTCCATGCTCCCATCCACCCCGGGGGCCCGAGGGCCTGCCGCGGCTGCCCCGTACCACCCATTTGCAGTAAGTGTAAGAGGTTTGGGGTGGGGGGAATACATTCTTGGGGGCAGAGTGGTCTCTAGACTCTCTGCTGTAGCTCTTGGCCTTGGGTGGACGCTGTAGCTAGAGGAGCCATGTTGTGGGGAGCCTTGAACAAGAGCTCTGGCTTTTGGCCGTTTGGGGAAAGTGCTCATCACAGCTTTGAAATGGAGAGGATGGTGAATGAATGTTGCTTGTCCCTCCTTGGATTTAGCTCCCCAGGAAGATGAGCTGCATCCCCATGTTGTGCTGAGCTCGGTTCACCTGTATTTAAGGACTAGCCGTGTCCCAAGGGTGGTGCTCTCTGAAGGTGGCTGGGGGCAATCTGTGCTGATGCTGGCATGGAAAAACCATGTAGGTGGTCTTCAGTCCTGACCCCAAACCCACCACTGGGTTGTGATGGCGTGGACTTGGTTGTGCCCTGTGGGTCTGGTCTCGGTGGCCCTGGCAGCCAAGGGGTTCTGCTTGCTGGGAGTTGATCTTCATCTGATTTCGTAGGCAAGGGTTCTTCCTCTTTCTTGGGGTGCTGTGGCTGCTGAGACCTGAGGCAAAGCAAGCCTGGGAAGCAGTTTCAAAACTGCTGAGGTTGCATGCAGGCAAGGATGGTCCAGTGTCAGGAAAACACGCCGACCAAAGTGCTGGCGGGGAAGGTCCATCCCCAACCCCCTAGCACCTGCAGAGCACCCGTAGCATGAGCAGGCTCTGTGGTCTGTCTCAGTCTCTCTGAATACTTCTGCACGGTGACTGGCACGCTGGTTAATTTACTTGTGCTGTTTTCTTTTCCTGGCGACGCCAGCAGCAGAGCAGTCGGAGGAGAACGGTGAGTGCCAGGCTGGCGGTGTGGAGGGATGGATGAGTGTCATGTGTGTGATGGCCCCAGAGGGCACCGAGAGGGTCGGTTGGTCTGTCTGTGCACTGCCAGCACACGGAGGGGAGGATGCTCTGCCTGCGTTGGCCACCTGAGCAAGCTCAGCCTTCAGGAGACATCTGCTCGAGCTTTTGTCGGTGTGATGGAGAGGAGCTGGGCAGGTCTTCTGAAAGGGCAGCGTTCCATGTGGGCTCCTTCACCCCAAAGCTTTGCCTTTTTCTGTGGCGAGGCCAAGAGGAGCAATTGCCTTTGCCATAATTTTTTATAGTAAAACAAGGAGCTGGCAAAAAAATCTAATAGGAAACTAGCTTGGCTCTGTGGCAGCTCCTTCCCCCCCCTGCCAGGTACTTTGTGTTTCACACTTCAGAGTGGTCACTTCTGACCGTGTCCTCAGCAGGACCTGGGGCCGGTGGCTGTAGCTTCAACTTTGGAGCTCTAGAGACCTGGCAAGGGTGAGGATGAGGAATGAGCCTCACGGTGAATAGGGGGAGCTGGGGAGGTGCGGTGCCCACCCTGGCTGGGCAGGAAAGGACACGTTGGTGTAGGAGACATGGAGCAGCCTGTGGCCAGAAGCAGAGGGTGGACACAGGAAGCATGAGCTTGCTGTGATGAGGAGCACAGAACCTGAGTACAATGGGTTTAAATAGAGGGCTGGGAGCAAGAGCAGTGTCTGCCATGGGCAGGGGAGCTAGGTCTTCTTCACCTGAGTAACCATGGTTTGCAGGTAGCATCTGGTTGCACTTGCCCAAATCCAGAGTGGTAGAGTGTTGTGTCTCTTCCAGGAGCAATGTCTGATGTATTTGAGCCACACAAGAGCTGAAGAGGAGTTGGCTTGGGTTGACTTGAGTCGGGTTAGGGTGCTGCCATGCACCCCTTGCTTTTGGCAGTGGAGAGACACACTGCTTTCTCCCTGTCCCCAGCCTAGGTTGTGGGAGACTATCTTCAGCCTTTGCTTTTGCTTCTATTGGAACTGGAGAAGGGAAATGGTGATGGCAATCAGAGCCAAACCAGACGTTTTTGCTGAGTTCTCACCAAACCCCCACCTTCTCCACAGGGGACTGATGGTGGTTACAGCACGGTTTCAGCTTTTCCAGGGTTGTGGCTGCTCTGAAAGGCTGTAGGGGCTGTTTTTCCACTACAAACTCTAGCAGGACAAAGTGGGGAAAGATTTGGGATAACTGGGAGCTCCCATCCAACTCCCAGCCCTGTTATGCTGTGCTACAGGCGCAGGGTCCAGGCTGCAGCTCATCCTGATACACCCTCGAGTGCACCCGCGCTTTCCAGGGGGCCTTTCAGGGGCTGAAGGTTGTCCCCTCGTGTCCCTGCCAGGCTCACAGTGGTGACATGATGCTCTGCATTGGACTGGGGGTGGCTGGGAAGGGCTGTCATTTACCCTCATTTTCTCTCCCACCGTAGAGCTCCTCGACATACCTCTCGGGTCTGTACGGAGCCCCCCCAGTCGGCACCTTCCCCCATCAGCACCCTGTAAGTGCCCTGGCACCTTCCTCTGTGAGATAGTCTCTCGGGCACCTTGGGAGGGTGGGCACGTGGCCGGGGTGGGCAGCCACCTCCCGTGATCCAGCTGGTCCACTGACCATCTCATTCTTCCGTGCCCTCGCCAGCTGCCGGAGCAGGAGATTGTGAACTTGTTCATCCCGACGCAGGCGGTGGGGGCCATCATCGGGAAGAAGGGGCAGCACATCAAGCAGCTGGCACGGTTTGCCGGCGCCTCCATCAAGGTGAGCCAGGGCACTGCGGGGCTGGTCCCGGGCTTTGTCTTGGTTTCCCCTTGCTACTGCTGAGGGCAGCGAACTGAAGCTCTTGGGGAGCGGTTTTGCTCCCTAAATTAGTAGAAACCCAGTCCTGCAACACCCCATTGATCAGCCCTGCTTGGGATGCTCTTGCATGGGGGCAAGTCCCACACTGGGGAGGGCTTGCCAAAATGAGGCCACGCTCATGCTCCTTCTCCCCCATCCCTCCGCAGATTGCCCCGGCAGAAGGTCCTGACATCAGCGAGCGGATGGTCATTATCACGGGGCCGCCCGAGGCTCAGTTCAAGGTGGGCTGGCCATAGGGCGGGGGCTGTGGTTGGGTGGGGTGCTAAAGGACAAGTCGAAAGTATCCCTTTGGTCGCCGCTGTGCTGCCAGCCTGGGTTTGCCTCCTTGAGTGCAGGAGGAGCTCCTCACTCAGTACCATTGGTTTGATGCTGCCGGACATTGGCCCATCATCACGGTCAGGGCTGGAGGGCCCTGCCAGCAGCACCCAGGATGGCTGCCTGCCAGTTTTACTTCCCTTACGTCTCCTCACCAGGCACAGGGGCGAATATTTGGGAAGCTGAAAGAGGAAAACTTCTTTAACCCAAAAGAAGAAGTGAAGCTTGAAGCCCACATCAAGGTGCCTTCCTTCGCCGCCGGCCGCGTGATAGGCAAAGGTGGCAAGACGGTAGGTGGGGGGGTGCAGGGATGCTCCCCCCCTGCCCTGGGGCTGCAGAGTTGGGCATCGCATATCACACCTGCCCACCCTATCACTGACCACAGCAATGTCTTCACCCCAGCCCTGTGTCCTGGTGGTGGCTCTTACTGGGTGATGACCATCCCAAGGTGGGGACAGGGTGTCACCTATGGCAGCCTGGTGCTGAGTGCTGACTTGGAGCTAGGGGGTGACACTGGCAGCGGAGGATTTCGGCTCTTCCGCAGCAAAACCCACCTGGGGCTCTGTGGTTTTCCCCAGGTGAACGAACTGCAAAATTTAACTAGTGCAGAAGTCATTGTGCCACGAGACCAAACCCCAGACGAGAACAAGGAGGTCATCGTTAAAATCATTGGGCATTTCTTTGCCAGTCAGGTAAGGTTGGGCCGTGGCTTTTCCAATATTCCCAGCCAGTTTAATCCAGCAAGGAATGCCTGAGCATCATGCTGCTCTGTTTTGGATTGTTCTTGTGCACGTGGGATGTGCTAAAGGTGTTTTGGCAGCTCTCCCCAGCTGTGCTAGCACTAAAAAAATTAAAGATTGGCTTGATTTAGCTCAAGTATGTGTCTTGGACACCATGCAGGGTGGGAATCACCTTCTTCCTGGCATCAGTGCCAGCAGGGAGCTCTCACAGGCACTCGCATCCCACGTGGATGCATGTACCACGATCTTATCTCCTGACTGCTTGAGCGGGACAGCAGCAGCCCCAAATTCAGGCTCATGCGGGGTGACAGAAGCAGCGCAAGTTAAACCCCTGCAGCACTCCGCTTGCAGCTGTGCGGAAGCAGAGCGGCTCCTGCTTTAGCACATCCTTAATACGGCTGTGCTGAACC